TTCCTCAGGGTTCTCTTCCCCCGTTCTCTTTCAGGTCCGGTCAGTTCAGACGTGATGCCAAATGGAAACGGACTGGCGGAGGACTTTAATGCTGCGGGGGACACTCCTATAATGGGCCCCTGCCTCCGACCGCCCCCACCCCCCAGAGCACAGCTCCCCCGTCAACTCCCAGACCCAAGAGCCCCTCCCCAGGTTTGGCAGATTTTCCACCCATGATGCTTAGAGAAGTCTGAGGGGGATAGTGCTGAGTTCACGGTTCACACGGGTGATTCATTGCCGTCGCTCAGACTCAGTATGCCTATGCAGGAGACAGAATTGTGTAAGCATAAACTTGTGTGGAGTGAATGCCCCTTTTATACCCCCCCTCCCCCCCCACCCCTGTATTTTGACCCTAATTTGCTTTGGAATGACTAGCTTTTTTTGCTGCATATCCATTTTTAACTCCCCTGTTTGTGTATTCGTTGAACAGAAGGATTCATTGGGACTTTCTTTTAGCTGTTTGAGTCTACCACCTTCCTGCAACTCACAGACATCTGATTGCTTGATTTGATGTTGGTGCTTCGTTTGAAAAACCGAACTAATGGCTGCGTTTTGGAACTAACCCCCCCAGTATGATATCGTTTTGGTGGAATTATAAGTCGGGCACGGTTTCCTTGTTCACAAATATAACTCCTACATAGAATATATATATATATAACAGTGCATGCACAATCCTCCAGCAGCTGTGTTGATGCACATGAGCATGACTAATCCAATGTCTGATAAAAACAAGTCTGCATAACTCATTGCAATATTGGCAACTGCATTCAGGACATGTTTATATATAGTTATACACGAACCAAGATATATGGGTGTAGCATGTACTTTTGCACCCCTCCTGTCTTCTGCTCCTTAAATCTACAGTACTTGTCAGATCAATTGAAGGATGTTGTAACTGTTTGTAATATACTAGTCAATGGCTTTGTCTTGCACCAAAACATGTTTCCTGCCCAGTGATTTACATCGGAAACATTTGAATAATTTCTTAATCCAAGCCGCTTCACTCACGACAACGAACATCCTACTAGGGCTGTGCGATTATGGCAAAAATCGTAATCACGATTATTTTGGTCAATAATTGAGATCACGATTATCCATTTACTTTGAAAACATCCATTTATTTTTAACAGTTGAGTACCCTGAACTTAAAGTATAATTCAACTGAAAAACCAATAAAATAAAAATAAATAATTGTTTTATTTCGATTACGTTTTTTCCGTAATCGTCGCAAGCCAAAATCGTAATCGAGATTAAAATACGATTAATTGCACAGTCCTACTTCATACAAAAATGTACATTAAATCTACACATAGTGCTCATAGCTAGGACTTAACCTTACCAGTCATATAACACCAGCTCTCGTGCAAATACAGAACAGAGTCGTTCAGTATGTGGCAATACAAAACATTCCTCTTGTTTGACCAATTTTCCATTTAGCCAACGAGAGGCCTTCATTAGAGATGGAGAACGAGGAGAAGATCCGCCTGGATGCTCGCCGGCGTCTGGAGGATCAACTCAAACAGTACAGAGTGCAGAGACATAAGGAGAGGGTGAGTGAATAATGGATGAGCTGCTCCTTCTTAGATCTGCCCTACAGGTCCTCATGTAACCAGATTTGCCAGCTTCTGTATTTAAACGTGACACTTCAACCATTAGGCAAATATATTTTCTTGATGCTGTATAAGCGGCATTGAACTTCAACCTGTGTAGACTTCTCTCAGATGAAGTTGGCTGTTAAATAATGCTTTTCTTTTGGAAATGTAACCCACGGGGGGCGAGGGGGGCGCTCGTGAATTGTTGTTACGGAGACGGAGGGGTTTTAGGTCATAGATTTTAGGTTGCCATAAGGCTGTTATTATAGGCTACATCCATTGGTTGTTTTGTGGCACATTTGTAACGCTGTGCCAACTTGGGGAGCAGGGTGGAGAGGTGGAGTGAGGTTGAGCGATGGAGAGAAAGGGAGAGAGAGATTGAGCGAGGCAGAGAGCGTGTGCAGCGGTCTGCTTGCGCACAGAGCAGTTTGTGAGAGCCGGCTTGAGAGTCAGTTTCTCTTCAAAATAGAATTGATTGCCAGCCTCCCTTGTCCCTGGCTGGCTTGCTAGCTCGTTGGTAACGTAACTGATTTCTTCTAATGTGCCTGCATCTGGCGCTGAGTTGCCATATTCCTTTCATGAACCACTTCCTGATATCCATTGTTGCAGATAAATATAAATGATAATAGCCAAACTAACCTAGCAAGAGCAAACTGACAGGCTGCTCTCACTCAAAAACCCACACGACTCAACCCAGCGAAAAACCAGCCTCGCTCGATATTAAACTAATCTTTCAACATAGTTTAAAACAAAAATAAATATTAGGACAAAGCCCTTCAAATAACAACCATAAACATAATAAAACAATTAAAATGTTGTATTCAGCCCTGATTAAAACAGCGGGCCCAAATCCCGCCCATGACGCCGGGTCTGTTGTGACTTCCACTGCTATTGTGAAATATACACTTATTTTACAAATGATTACGGTGTAATTACACTTGTTTAATGTTACTGGATCCTTCAATACTTTATATTGTTACTTATTCTTTCTACCATGGATGTGCACTTATTTGTTTTTGAGTCTACTCTTTTTACTTGCGCTACCTTCACTTTCGTAACGCTGTAACTGTCCCCGCTGCGGGACAAATAAAAAAGGGTCTTCAGATTGTGATACATTTCTGTTTTCCAGTCTCACCGCACCGCCACCAAGAGCAGGCTGTTCAGCACCCTGGATCCAGAGCTCATGCTGCACCCTGAGGATCTGCCCAGGGCCAACACTTCCTCCATGACCACAGAGTATTCCTTCATGAGGACCACTGTACCCCGCGGGCCCAAACTGGGAAGCTTGGGAATTCCCCCTGGCAGGGAGAAAAAGTCCAGATCACCCCGAGTGAACAAGATCCACTCCCTCGCCGACTACAAGTCTCCTGAGAAGGATGGAGCAGGTGACGGTGGAGGTATACAATTACTGTAGGACTATTCTGCACTATTTCTATTATGTTCTATTGTTATTTACTTTCACTATTTTATCAGTTTTATTGTGTTGCACTGTTGGAGGAGCCTCTGACCTAAGACATAACTCCACTGTAGCTATGAACACATGACAATAAAAGCCTTGAATCTTTAGGTGGAGGAGGAAGTGGAGGAAGAACAGCAGACGGCACCATGACCTCCCTGCAGTCCACCATGAGCTCAGTGTCCACTCTCTCTGAGGTCACCGTGATGTCAGAGGGCAGCGCCTGTGACACGGAGCCACAGCCCGGCGCCTCGCTCCAAATTGGGGACAATGTGTCTGAAATTGACGGCAGTGAATCGGGAATAAGGCCGGGGAACGATGGCAACGACAGCGACAGCTCGTCTTACAGCAGCGTGTCGACCAGAGGGCAGTTCAGGACGCTCTCTGCCGCAGTGGAGAGGCAGCGGGGGGGCTACACGGTGCAGGGGAGGGAGATCGCTGCTGAAGCCATGGGTCAGTTCCCCTCGCTGCAGGAGGTGCTGCAGGCGGCCAGCGACGAGCAGCACCTCCTGGAGCTGGAGCAGCAGCAGGGAGACGGAGCGGAGCCGCGCAGCCGCAGGGACAGCTTCTCCAGCAGGTATACGGCAACAACAAATCAAATGGGATTTATGTTGCCAAAAATCACACATTTTTCCCCGGGGGCTTTACACTGTGTACAGCATCCGAGATATATCCTTATATATATAGAAATGTATTTATTAGGATAAACCCCTTGAGATGCACCGTCTCGTTTTCAAAGGGGTCCCGACCAAAACAACGTCTTACAGACACACATGAACAAAGTAACAGAAAGCAAAGCATGACAAACAGGACAAACCACGTACACTACAATTATTACAATTTGATAGAAAGAAGTGTCTAATAGATCAGTTTCATCAAAACGAGCACCTTAAGCCCTTGAGATTCTATAAACTCTGTGTAATAGGGTTTAGGGTGACATGTTAACTCAATATTAGCACATGTATTTCCTGTAACTTAGAGACCATTTGTATTTGTTACTGTAGATTACAGATTGAAAGTGAATGTGTTTATTTTCCTGTCGACTAGTTGACTTGTCTTCTGAGTACTCATGTGTTTTATATTTGTTGCAGTGTTTCTCTGGAGAGCTCAGTGATGGGCCATGATGAGATGCTGCAGGTGTTGAAGGAGAAGATGAGGCTGGAGGGTCAGCTGGAGTCTTTGTCATCTGAGGCCAATCAGGTAAAATCACTGATTGATTTCTCTACCAATATTTTCCATATTCTTGCACCAATTACCTATCCACACATATTATGTACAGGATTGGACAAATTAACTTTGAAACCATGACATTTGATTATTCTGTGACAAATTGGATGCAACAAAACATAATTTAGCTGCAAAATCTGGTAGTAAAAAGCTACTTTAAGCTTTCTGCTATGCCTATATTTGGATAGTAAATTGATAAATACAACTATATTTACAATTCTTGACCCTGCGTGCCATCATTTTCAAATCCAATTAGTTTTCTATGTAAATGCTTACCCTTGATTGTGGAAAATAAATCCAAATCCTTGTTTACTGTTAAATTCGAACTAAAAGAAACTCCATTAACTATAACAATAATGTTATATATTAATAATGGATACATGAATGTTCACTTGGAACCTTTCTATAATTTATTTCTAGTATATGTTGTTTCATACATTAAAGTCTCTTACATTAGCATTTGCATAAACACTGCTGATGACAACGAGGTTAATGTTGTAATATATTGTGTACCATGCGATGACTGCGCTTCTAAATTCTCATTGCTGATACTAAATGGGAAGTCAAGCCCATAAATAAATGTTCGAAACTAAAACAAATGGCTGTTAATTGACCTATCCAGGTGATACTTTATTGGAAAACTAAAATGATTGTCCGTAACCCTGACCTCGCTGTCTTTTTGCTCCAGGCTCTCAAGGAGAAGACGGAGCTTCAGGCTCAGCTGGCTACGGTGAACGCTCAGCTGCAGGCGAAGAAGGCGGAGTCTCAGCTCAGCCAGGAGAAGCAGAGCACCCTGACTGCCGAGGTCCGCACGCTGAGGCAGAACTCAAGCCAGCTGGAGAGGGCCATGGTGGAGCTCCAGGGAAGTCTGGAGGGCAAGAACGCCAGCCTGACGTCTCTCAGCAACGACCTGAAGGTGGCTGAAGACCAATACAACCGGCTGATGGGGAAGGTGGAGGAGATGCAAAACACTGTGACCTCAAGAGACAACACAGGTGAGTGACGGAGACCCAGAGAGCTGAGGGTAACAATGAGTGAGCTCTAAAGGCCGGTGTCCACATAGCGCCCAATGAGAGTATGTGGCGTTATCAGGTAAAAAGCACTTCACCCAGGAGCTGTTTTCTGAGGGCTTGAAGTAGAACATGCTTTTCTGGAAAGCGCCGGTAAGGACTCTTTTTAGCGGTGACAGAAATTGCCCTAACAAAGACCGGAAAGCCCATTTCTTTGAGTGTATTTACTGGCAACTGTGAAGTGAAGCTCATCAAAGTGTGAGAGCAAGCAGTTTTCATGATGAGAAAACAATGTCAAACAAATATACAGTAGCAAAAACACATAATAAAATCCAATGAAGCTAGCTTGACTATACAACCAGCACAGCCCCTAGTTGACCCCCCCCCCCCCCCCACACACACACACACACACACACACACACACACACCACAACACAGACTATATCACCCCTTGCTGCTAAATACCAACAAACTATGTGCAATATATAAATGCCGTTAATAACTGTAATATATACCTGGCTGCTAAATCTGTAGAACTGTTACAGGATGTTTTTGTTTTTTTAATTATGTAACTTTTAATTTGTTATTATATCATAACTTAGTACTTTTTTTTAAATGCATGTCATTTAAAATATGTATCATTAAGCTGTCTGTGGCTCTTTTTCCTGCTGTAACGACGCTCCGTGGGACTAATAAAGGGATTGTGATTGTGAGGCAGCCATGTGTTTATAGAAACTGTAAACAGAATGATCTCCAGGCGTCCTGACAGCGCCGTTCTGACAAAAAAGGCACTCTGTGTATGTGGGCCCAGACTAATTGTACTTTGCGATATGTTAGACAACTTTAGATAGCCATTTGCATATCCACACTGGTGGTTAAACAAGATTAGTTTCTTCTTCTTCGCAGTCCATGAGTTGCGTCAGCAGATGGGGGGTCTCCAGAGCCAGCTCCAGCAGGTGCAGCTGGAGCGCAGCACCATGCAGAGCCGCATGAAGACCTCCCAGGCAGAGATAGACTCCCTCCAGCAGCTCAGACAGTGGTACCAGCAGCAGCTCGCCATGGCCCAGGAGGCGAGAGTACGGCTGCAGAGCGAAATGGCCAACATGCAGGTAAGGTTGAAGCTGTTGGGATTGGTTTTTCATGTAGCTTTGACATGAGTTGACATGACACCCTGTTGTTTTATCTCTCACAGGCCGGACAGATGACTCAGATTGGTGTGCTGGAACATCTGAAGCTGGAGAATGTGACTCTGTCCCACCAGCTCACTGAGACCCAACACCGCTCTATTAAGGATAAAGAGCGTATTGCTGTTCAGCTGCAGAGCATTGAGGTATACTCTCCAACATCTTTTTAAGTCTACGTATCAACGTCATCCCAAACCTGAAGACCATTATGCAATCAAGGACCTTAGATCAGGGGTGTCAAACTCAAGGCCCGGGGGCCAAATCCGGCCCGTGACTTCATTTCATGTGTCCCGACAATATCTTGCAAATAATATAATATGTTTATTATTCGGTTACATGTCGCTTTACAGAAGCACGTTGCCCATAAACTACATGTCCCACAATGCATCTCAAATTTGACTTTTTTTCTCATAATCTGACTTTTTCTTTTCTTGGATTTTGACTTTTTTTTTCAGAATTTGGCTTTTCTTTTTAAATCATGTTGTGACATTCTCACTGAAGAGACTTTCAATTATTGGCCCTAGACTTCTGCTTTCAGACGTAGTTAATTATTAAGTTATTACCCTATCCGATAATAATCCAACGCAGAGGCAATAATGTAATATAATACATTATTTTATATATACACTATATTTATATATGTATTTTTATATAGTCTTATATATAAAACTGGCCCTTTGAGTGCAACCATGATGCTTATGTGGCCCGAGATGAAATTGAGTTTGACACCCCTGCCTTAGATCAAAGCACACGTTTCTAAATGACTCAAATGTTTTTTCATTGTTTTTTTGATAAATCTTGAGTAAAACCTTTTTGCTGTCTGTGACGTAGTCCGACATGATGAGCCAGGAATCTGCTTATAAGCAAATCCAGGATGCAAAGAACATGGTGGAAGATGATTTGCAGCACAAACTGGAGGAGTTTGAGGATGAGCGAGACCACTTAACTAAACTGGCCAACACCGCCAGCAGCCTGGAGAGGGAGCTGGAGCAGGTAATCATTCCTTTCCCACGTTGTGAGTAGGGCTGTGCGATTATGGCAAAAATCATAATCACGATTATTTTTGGTCAATAATTCATATTACGATTATTAAAAAAAAAAATTGAACAGTATGTTTTTAATAGTTGATTACCCTGAACTTTAAGAATAATTCAACTGAAAAACCAAAATAATAATCGTTTTATTTCGATTACGTTGTTTTCGTAATCGTTGCAAGCCAAAATCGAGATTAAAATAAGATTAATTGCACAGCCCTAGTCTTATGTCCTGCTCTAAACTGGCACTCTATCCCTCTTAGGCGAAGTTGATCCTTTCCCAGAAGGACGTGCAGCTGCATTCGCTCCAGAAAGAACATCTGGATCTGATGCGCCAGCTGACCTGCACTCAGGAAGACCTGCAGACCAAAGAGCAGTCCATCAACCAGCTGGAGGCTCGCTTCCTGGAGCTTGAGGCCCAGCTGGCCGAGCTGCAGACGGACGGCAGCGCCAAGGACGACAACATCCAGTTCCTCCAGAACGAGAAGATCGTCCTGGAGGTGGCGCTGCAGGCCGCCCGGGCCGAAAAGAGCCAACTGGACGAGGGGGCTGAGCGTCTGGGAGAGGATGTTCTGGTGGCTTCAGACGTCTTGGATCAACTCAGACAGGAAGTCCAGGTCAAAACCAGTCAGGTACGATACAGTTGGGAGGAGAAACTATTAAAAAACGTGCATAGAAAGTATGATTAAGCAATAACCGTTTGACTTTACAACAAATATTGACATTCCATGTGTGTATTTGGTCATGTTTATCTCCCCAAATACTTCTTTAGTGACACAGTGAGTTACAGAACAGGTTAAAATACTTCCTTAGGCACGTTTAGCAGTAATTATCTTGTGTAAAGCACTGTAGGAATTACTGAGCTATAGTTACTTGGCATTGTATCTCTCAGAATTGAAAAGTCACACCTTCATCTAAGAGGTGACATTTGAAAAGAGCACTGCTTTTACTTTCAAACCAAAGAAAAGTATGTGCATCAAAATGACTCAAAATAATGTTCATCTTCAGCTGAATTTATTGCATTTCAATTTTTTTCCATCCCTTTTTTTGTAGTATACTTCATATAATGTTTTCTATGAGCAAATGTATGCATCTTAAACGTCAATATCGCAGCCATGTTTTGCTAAATGAACTGTGGTAAGTAGGGGTGTAACGGTACACGTACCCGTACCGAAATTATTCGGTACGGGCCCTTCGGTTCGGTACAGGTGTGTACCGAAGTGTACCGAACGAATATAACGTTAAACGTAAAAAATTGAGAACGTGAACAACTTCTTGGAAGTAATCTCAGGTGCTGCGTCGCAGCATTCAGAGTAATTTGCTCACATTGGGTTCAACGCGTCATAGAGCGAGCAAGTTATTTCATTGGATGAGAGGCATACTATGAGAGCTGGTCAGAGAGATGCGTTCATATGTAGTCAGTAATTTGAGGAACTATCGAAAATTAATGGCGAACGCAGATAAAGTTGAGCTCGAAAATCCTCCAGCATCATTGAAGTCTCCGGTTTGAGAACATTTTGGTTTCGCAGTTACGTACAAGGATGACGGACAAAGACAGGTGGACCGAACCAAAGCTGTTTGTCGGCATTGTTCAACTAACATTGGTTACGCGGCTGGCAATACATCAAGCTAGCACACTCTTGAAAAGGCATCACCCGAATGTGAATATCACCGGTACCAAAAGAAAAAAAGACTGAAGTGCAAACCCAACTCCCACTAGCATGTAAGCCTCCACCACTCGCAGAGAGTTCAGACCGAGCCAACGCTGTTACAAACACCAAATATCCTTATGTTGCCATGTTAGCAAAGCGCTACCTGGCTGTATCTGCTACCTCTGTCCCTAGAGAGGGTGTTCTCCACAGCAGGAGACATTGTTAGTGCCAGCAGATCTGCCCTTTCGGCAAGCAATGTGGACAAGTTCATTTTTCTTTAAAAAAACATGAAAATACAATGACAAGCTAGTCCTAATGTCAAACTGGCTGCTTAGGTGCTAGTACAGTACAGTTCAAATACAGATTATTTCAGTGAATCGAAAAGCTGCACCTTAATGTTTATTTTATTTTGTATTTATTTGAGTGAATACATTATTCACAGTTTAATAATAATAAAAAAAAAATATATATATATGTTTTATTTTGTGAAAAAAAATTCTGCTGTACCGAAAACGTACCGAACCGAACCGTGACCAAAAAACCGAGGTACGTACCGAACCGAAATGTTTGTGAACCGTTACACCCCTAGTGGTAAGCTAAAAACCTGTGACCTAACATTCAATTAATTATGCAGCCCTGAGTTAACCCTTAGATGCCCTTAGAGCAGGGGTCTCAAACTCAAGGCCCGGGGGCCAAATCTGGCCCTCGACTTCATTTTATGTGGCCCCGCAAGAGCTTGCAAAGAATATAATACGTTTATTATACGGTTACATGCGGCCACTTTACAGAAGCAGGTTGCCCATAAACTACATGTCCCACAATGCATCTCGTTTTGTGACATGCACACTGAAGAGACTTGCAATGATTTGCCCTGGACTTCTGCTTTCAGACGTAGTTAATTACTAAGTTATTATCCTATCCGATAATAATCCAATTCAGAGGCAATACTGTAATATAATACATTATTTTATATATATATAATATATATATATATATATGATGTATTTATATAGTTACAACCGGCCCTTTGAGTGCAACCTTTATGCGAATGTGGCCCGTGATGAAATTGAGTTTGACACCCCTGCCTTAGAGTGACTGGACCCTACACTCTTCCATAAGTGGGTCAAAAACGACCCGTATTAGAATAATATGTGTTTTTATGCCATTTGTCATTTTGGTTAAGAAAAATCACTTGTTTGATATTTAGTATTATATTTTGGTTCACACTAGAAATATTTGTTATTTAATTTTTCACTATTTAGAATTTTAGACCATTTTTTTTACATTTTGAAAAAAACCGTTTTGAACATATCGATATTGATCCGCTATTCTGAGACCCTCACAGTATTCTAGTCCCTTTTCAAAACTCATCTCTTCTCCTCTTGTCTACTCATAGCCCCCCCCCATCAATCCACGCCGGTTGATCAAGTCTGATAGTCCTATACCCCCCACCCTAACCTTCCCTTATATTGTAAAGCGATGTTGAGTCCTTAAAGCCCTATACAAATATAATGTATTATTATTATACTGACAGGTTTCAGATCTTGCTGTGTAAAATAATCTTCCTGAGAGGTGTCACTTGTGATGTAGTCTGTGTGTTCCACAGTGAATGTATTCCTGACAGCAACAGGTGAGAAGCATCAAAGGTTCCCAGAGGATCCCATAGAAAATGCATGCGGGTGATTTTTGACCCACTTATGGAAGCTTGGGGTAGAAATACAAAAACTACAATTTCTTAAAATGTGAATGGCTTGATATCCAAAACATGTTTTTTGAGGAATAGCTGAAATATGAAATAATAAAAAAAATGTAATTGCAAAGATACTTCAATAAAACCGGGTCCAAAAAGACCCACTTATGGATCTAAGGGTTGAGCTTACGTCTCCAGCCAGATGTAGTGAGTAATTATTGTCCCTTGCTTTGTTACAGATTGAAACTCTCCAACAACAAAATGGTTCCCTGAAGAAACAAGCTCAGAAACTGAAGGAGCAGTGTCAACAACAGAAGGTAAGTCCTCCCTTTTCTCTGACAGTACATGAAGCTCTGTATTTCTAGGTAAAGCTCGTAGAATCCAGAGTATTTATTTATTTCACACTAAAATGTTATAAATAAGGCTGTTGTGGGAGGATGTATTGTGGAGGCAGATGGCTGTCAGCAGAGCGCTAGTTGACACGCCTCAGTGGATGGAGCAGAGGTGGATGGAGCTCATTGTGCATCGACAGGCTGTCAGAAAGAGGGTGGGGTTTACTGACAGCAATGGGAATTGGATTGTGTTTATCTCAAGGCTTGAGTTTTTGAATACCATTCAGACTCATCAGGCATTCATCTACAGTATGTCCATCAACATGTATTTAGGACTGCTTTCAGCAAACTAGTAACACTGGTGGTAAAGCTCTGAAGTCTGTGAAGCTTGAGGCACTGTGGCATGAATGTAATGTAATGAATGTCACACTGCTTGATAGAGGTATACAGGATAGTAGGAAGTCTTTTTTTTGTTCCTTTTTTGTGTATAGAAAAAAGAGAATATTGAATTATTGTTCAAATGAAAGTCCTCAAATGCATAAAAACCACAACTATTGGATCTCTTTGAAATGTTTCTTTTTGTTACTGTTCTGCAAGGTTTGGGTTTATTTGTTCCTACTTTGCTGCACACTCAAACAATTGTACCTACATGACAATTTGGAAAGCTATTTTTTTTTGTATATATATATATTTGAAAGCTTTAAGTCTATGTATTAACAAAACCTTAAATATTTAGTCAAATGCTCTTCTGTCTTTAGTAAATGTGCGCGACTGTTAGGAACCAATACAAAGCTATTTAGGCTGCAAAAAGAAAGCCTGTAAGATACTGAATGAATACATCTTGTTGTTTTTTCAATTGCCATGTTCAATGTATGGAAGCCTGGAGGTGATGCCATGTGGGGTTCAAATCATATTGCACCCCTCTCTTCTGCACGTACCTACATTATTTTGTGATCATATTTTGCCAGACAAGTCAATCAATCAATCAATCAATCAATGTTTATTTATATAGCCCAATATCACAAATGTTACATTTGTCTCAGTGGACTTTACAGTTTGTACAAAATATCAGTATGACAATACGACACCCTTAGACCCTCACATCGTACAAGGAAAAACTTCCGAAGAAAACCCACAGTTTAAAGGGAAAAATGGGAGAAACCTCAGGGAGAGCAACAGAGGAGGGATCCCTCTCCCAGGACGGACAGACGTGCAATAGATGCCGTGTGTAAATTGAAAAGATAATACATTTGCAACATAGGTAGACCAAATGTTTGGAAATGCATGTGTGTATAATAGGAAGATGAATCCACGAGGATATCCATCCAGGACCTATGATCCAGGACCACAGCCACGACTCAAGATCCAGGACAGAGGAGCGCAGGATCATCCATGACTCTGGATCCCGGCGTGTATATAGACACCAAAAAGAAAGACATTTGGGGAAGCTGGGTTAATCGGAACATGAGAGTACACAAGTATAGACAGAGAGAAGGAAGAAGTAAGATGTCCCCCGACAAACTAAGCCTATATCAGCAAAACTAGGGGCTGAATCTAATCAGCCCTAACTATAAGCTTTATCAAAAAGGAAGGTCTTAAGCGCACTCTTAAAAACGGATAGGGTGTCTGCCGCCCGAACACAAACTGGAAGCTGATTCCACAAATGTGGAGCTTGATAAGAAAAGGCAAGGCTCTGGCTCCCATTGTACTTTTAGAGACTCTAGGAACAACCAACAACCCTGCATTCTTGGAACGCAATGCCCTAGTAGGACAGTAGGGTATAATGAGTTCTTTAAGGTAAGATGGCGCCTGCCCATTAAGGGCTTTGTAGGGGAGAAGAAGAATTTTAAATTCTATCCTGTGTTCTAGGGAGCCAGTGTAAGGCAGCCAGAACAGGAGTAATGTGGTCCCTTTTCCTAACTCTGGTTAGTACACGAGCCGCAGCATTTTGAATCAGCTGAAGCGACTTGACTGACTTCTTGGTACACCCTGATAATAAAGAGTTACAATAATCCAGCCTTGAAAGTAACAAATGCATGGACTAGTTTCTCTGCATCGTTTTGAGGCAAGATATGCCTGATTTTTGCAATGTTACGTAGATGGAAGTAGGCGGTCCTTGAAATTGATTTTATGTGGGCGTTAAAGGATAAATCCTGATCAAATATAACACCAAGATTCCTTACAGTCTCACTGGAGGCCAAATTAATGCCATCCATGGTTAATATATCCTTAGATAATTTGTTTCGTAGATTCTTCGGGCCAAGTACAATAACTTCAGTTTTGGTCGTGTTTAACATCAAAAAGTTTAAGGTCATCCACGTTTTTAAGTCCTTAAGGCAGTCTTGAATTGTATTTAGATGATTAATTTCATCAGGCTTGATTGATAAATATAGTTGAGTATCATCCGCATAACAATGAAAATGTACAGAATGATTCCTTATAACATTGCCTAACGGAAGCATATATAATGTGAACAAAATAGGTCCGAGCACTGAGCCCTGTGGCACTCCATGGCTAACTTTGGTTTGCGTGGAAGATTCATCGTTGACACGTACAAACTGAGAGCGTTCAGATAGATAGGACCTAAACCAGTCTAAAGCAGTTCCCTGTATGCCAACTAAGTGCTCTAGTCTTTGCAATAGGATATCATGGTCGATAGTATCAAATGCAGCACTGAGATCGAGCAAAACAAGAATAGAGACACGTCCCTTGTCAGAGGCTATTAGAATGTCATTTGTGACTTTAACCAGAGCTGTCTCTGTGCTATGATGTGTTCTAAAGCCAGACTGAAAATCTTCAAATAAATCATTGTTTTTTAAGTAATCACACAACTGTTTTGCGACCGCTTTCTCAAGAATTTTTGAGAGGAACGGAAGATTGGAAATAGGTCTATAGTTGGCTAAAACCTCTGGATCGAGGTTGTGCTTTTTAAGAAGCGGTTTTATCACTGCTACTTTGAATGATTGTGGAACATAGCCTGATAATAAAGACATATTCATAATATTTAATAAATAAGTGCTAATTAATGGAAAAGCTTCCTTCAACAGCTTAGTTGGAATTGGGTCTAACATACACGTTGATGGTTTAGAAGAGAGAATCATTGAATTCAATTGTTCAAGGTTTATGGCTGAAAAGCATTCTAGTTTACTATCTAGTGTAATATTAGAACTTACGTTTCCGGGAGCTGTTGATAACACTATACTGGTCAAAGGCAAGAGGTCATTAATTTTGTTTCTAAGAGTAACAATTTTATCATTAAAAAAGCACATAAAATTATTACTACTGAGTGCTATGGGAATAGAAGGCTCAATCGAGCTGTGGCTCTCCGTCAGCCTGGCTACAGTGCTGAAAAGAAATCTTGCATTATTCTTATTCTCATCTATTAATGAAGAGTAGTAGGCTGCTCTTGCTTTACGCAATGCTTTCTTATATTCATTGAGAGTAATATGCCAAATTAAACGAGATTCTTCAAGTTTAGTGGAACGCCATATCCTTTCAAGTTGTCTCGACTTTTGCTTTATTTTGCGGGTTTCGGCATTATGCCATGGAGCTAATCTATGTTGTTTTATTTTCTTCTTTTTCAAAGGAGCAACAGAGTCTAATTTTATTCGCAGCGCATCTGTAGCACTATCAACAATATGATCAATTTGGGGTGGTGTACATTTTGTATAAGTTTCCTCCCTTACATGCAGACATGCTATCGAGTTAAGTATTGGTGGAATCTCTTCCTTAAATTTGGCTATAGCACTAACAGATAGGTTTCTGCTGCAGGAGCTTTTGACTAATGCTTTGTAGTCTAGTAACAGTACTTCAAAAGTTACTAAGAAATGGTCGGATAAAGCAGGATTATGCGGTTCGACTAATAGTTGCTCAATTTCAATAACATAAGTCAGAACAAGGTCGAGAGTGTGATTATAGCAGTGGGTTGGTTTATTTACACTATGACAAAAACCAACAGAATCTAATATAGAGTTAAATGCAACAGTAAGGCTATTTTTATCATCGTCAACATGAATATTAAAGTCACCTACGATAATTACTTTATCTGTTTTAAGAACCAAAGTTGATAAAAACTCAGAGAATTCAGATAAGAATTCTGAATAAGGACCTGGTGCACGGTACACTGTAACAAATAAGATTGGCTGCAAAGTTTTCCAGGTCGGATGCGTAAGACTAAAAACAAGACTTTCAAAGGAGGTATAATTTAATTTTGGTTTAGTATTGATAAGTAAACTTGAGTCAAAGATTGCTGCAACTCCACCTCCTCGGCCCGTGCCTCGGGCAATATGAGTATTGATATGGCTGGGTGGAGTGGCCTCATTTATGCTGACATATTCTTCATGTCTCAACCAAGTTTCAGTGAGACAGCATATATCAATATTATAATCTGATATGAAATCATTTACCAATATTGCTTTAGATGCTAGAGATCTTATGTTTAAGAGACCACATTTAATATTCCTGTTTTGTTGCACTGTAGTAGTTGTTACATTTACTTTTATTAGGTTATTATGTATGACACCTCTATTAGGTTTTACCTTAACTTGTCCTTGGGCAGACACACACACCGCTAATATTGGGTATTTGATTGGGTTCGGGATTCCTATGGATGACTGCCTAGGAGAGAGCGCGCAGAGAAGCGTGTAAGACTGCGACTCCGCCTCCTGGTCTCAACTCCAGTTTGTCATGGATTAAGTCCACAAAGCCCTGAAATGTTTGCCGAAATGAAATCGGCACCTTCCAAAGTAGGATGAATGCCGTCTCTCTTAATCAGACCAGGTTTTCCCCAGAAGGCTGTCCAATTATTTACGAAGCCCACATTGTTTGCTGGGCACCACCAAGACAACCAGCGCTGAAATGATGACATGCGGCTTGTCATCATTGTCATCATTGATCAGATTGGGGAGGGGACCAGAGAAGATTACGGTGTCCGACATTGTTTTAGCATAACTACACACCGACTCCACATTAAGTTTGGTGCATTCTGATTGGCGTAAACGAACATCATTACCACCGACGTGAATAACAATCCTACTGTATTTACGTTTATTTTTAGCCAGCAGTTTAAGATGCGCCTCAACGTCGCCCGCTCTGGCCCCCGGAATGCATGTGACTGTGGAGGCTTCGGTCTCTAATTTCACGTGTCTCATAATAGAGCTACCAATAACCAGAGTTGGCTTCTCAGCGGGTGTCTCGCTGAGTGGGGAATATCTGTTAGATACGTGAACGGGTTGGTGGGGACCTGCGGGTTTCGCGTTATGCCCCTTCTGAACAGTCACCCAGTCTCCCTGCTGCTCGGGAGTTGCCGGGGGACGGCTAATAGGAGCTACCTTTTGCCGGTCCGCACCGGCTAACATGGGCTTTACTGTAGCTGAGTTACTTTCTAAGATGCGGAACCGGGCTTCTATGGCTATGATTCCCGCCTCCAACCTAACAACTATACTACATTTAACACATGTATCGGTACCAGTAAAGGAGGCAGGGAAGTAACCAAACATGAGACAGTTAGAGCAGGAAATAGCACCCGAGGGTGGGGAAAGAGCCATGGCTAGCTATCAAGCTAAAGTAGCTACCGTTAGCAAACCCGAAAAGAGTGTAGGCAACTGTGGAGTTACAGTCGCTAAGAGAAGGAGAGTTGTGAGTGTTTAAGCTGTAGTAACGTGTGATTACAACGTCAGGCAGTTGCCATGATCAAGAGTTTTAAAACGATCGATTAAGTTAAGATAATAAGCTATCAGCAACAGAACGGACACACGGGATACCCGGAGATGACAACAACCGGAAGTGGTCAGTCAAATATAAACTGTCGTTATTACTCCAGAAGGCAAGTTTATTAATATAGCACTTTTCAACACAAGTGCTTTACAAAAATGAAAGACATTAAGGGCATAAAACACATTAGAAACATGAAAAAGCAAAGATAATAAAACATGAATAACAGGGGTACATGAATACAAGTTACAGTGCAGTGTAAGATGTGAATAGTTCAATTAAAAGCAGCGGCAAAAAGAAAAGTCTTCAGCCTGGATTTAAAAGTAGTCCGAGTTGCAGCTTTCTGGGAGTTTGTTCCAGATATTTGGGAATATCTAAAACCAAATTCTCACATTCCTCTAGCCCTAGTCTTCCTGTGAAATTATAGCCTCATGACATTTTTCTAAGAGAGGATGCCAACTTCTTCATGACCGTTATTGACTCTTACAGGTGATGGTGGAAGCCTACCGTCGGGACGCCAGCTCCAAAGAACAGTTGATCAGCGAGCTGAAGTCGACCAAAAAGCGTCTGCTGTCGGAGGTGAAGGAGCTGAAGCAGGAGCTGCTGGGCGTTCAGGGAGAGAAGCAGCAGGCGGAGCTGGAGCAGGCGCGGCTGCAGAAGGAGGTGCTGAGGGTGGAGGAGCAGATGAACAACATGGACGCCCATCTGACCGCCATTCAGCAGGAGAGGGATCAGCTGGAGACCCAGATGCAGGTCTCTAGAGTCATTGTTCAACCGTTCTTATCAAATGAATGTATTTATTCATTTTTAAAAGGGACAATCTACATTAGTTATGTATATTTTCTACTTTTTTTTTTTATTACTATTTTATTGTTATTGCGATGTTGACATTTGTAACCCTCCGGTATCATTCCATTGGACGACGCAAATTAGTCATTCGGGACAAAAATGTCCACTGCAAAGGACTTTGATAAAAACATTATATTAAAAGGTTTTTTTCACAACTTTTTTGGGTTCAATCTTTAAAGCAACTTCCGCCCTAATCAAAAATACCAAAAATGTAATCGTTTTCAGGATTTTAACCCTTTAAATGCCATTTTGAATACATGAAACTGCTGTTGTTTTTCATGATAAAAACAGAGAAAAGGAGTTATTTTCCATATAATACATATCCGGGGACTGGCTCTTTTTTTATAACAGTCTTGGATATGTCAAAGATTAGCAACAAAATTGATTTTTTTGTATTATTAGTTTTTGCGCAAAATTAAATTAAACAAAAAACTCACACATTAGTCATTCGGGACAAAAATGTCCACTTCCAAAAACTGCTATAAAATGATAACAGATTCATATTTTTAAAAACTTTTTTGGGTTAAATCTTTCAATCAACTTCAGTCCTGATAAAAAATACCAAATATTAAATTATGTTCAGGATTTTAACCCTTTAACTGCCAGTTTGAAAACAATGAATTTGCGTTTTCTATGAAAAACATGTACAAAAAGGCAGTTATTTTCCATATAATAAATGTTGGGGCGGTCGGATTTTTTCTTTCTTATAACAGTCTTGGATATGTCAAAGATTAGCTACAACATTGATTTTTTTGCATTATCAGTTTTTGCACAAAATTAGATTAAATAAAAAACTCGGGACAAAAATGTCCACTTCCAAAAGCTGCTCTAAAAGGAAAAGATTGAACCCAAAATGTGGTGAATAAAATATTTTTAATATAATATTTTTATCAAAGTCTTTTGCAGCGGACATTTTTGTCTCGAATGGTCAATAAGCGTAGTCGATTTGTTACACAGTGAATTAAAGACCGATTGTTACAAAACATCAGGCCGTTTGCACCAACACGACCAAAGTGATTGCAAAATGAAACGTGAAAAATGACCCATATGGACAAAAACGTCCACAGTGATACCGGAGGGTTAAATGTTTATTTCTTGTCTTTTAATTTGATTGTACAATGCCATGTCTTTGTATGCTGCTGCAACACAAACGTGTCCCAACTTGGGATCAATAATGTACTTCTTATCTTATCTTAATTAACATGAGCACTTACTGTAGTCCATCATGTCCAATTTGCCAGATTTAGCGACATTACATTTAATGACATTTTAAGGCACATTTTTGTATCTGCGGTTCCCGGGACGTTGATGGCATTTAACGAAAACAAGAGCACAGAAAAAAACACCTGAGCACAATAAAACACATACCATCTATTAAAGGACATAAATACAAACCCATAAACAAACTGTATAAGCACAGATAAAAGCTAATTGGCACAGACAATTCAAAATGTAATAATAACCCCTTCTCCAGTTTATGAAAGCATGTTTGATCGTCAAATTCACTTCACAAAGTACTTGTTTTGATATTTGGATGTATAATAAGCAGGTGGCGGGAACAAATGTGTCAGCCGTTACAGTGTGAATCCTATCATTAGATCAGAAGCATTTATTGTCATTATACAATTACAACGAGAAGACGCTTTTATCCAAAGCGACTTACATACTCAATACTGTGGACAATCCCCACTGGAGCACTTTGGGGGGGAAGTGTCTCAGGGACACAACGACATGCTGACTGCAGTGGGGTTTGAACCTGTGACCCCCTGATCCCAACACCAACGCACTACCCACTGCGCCACACACCTCCCCTCCCAAAACATTCAGAATAGACAACAGACAACAAAGACACGCTGCATTCCTACAAACATAAGTAAGGTAATAACAAAATCAAGTGTAGGAAAATAATTAAATTAGTAGAGTATTTACAACAACAACAACAACAACAACTGTGAACACACACATACACACACACACACACACACACACACACACACACACACACCCCTCAAAGACTCCAAGCACTACTATTTAGACATACTTATGGCTATGTTACTAATACATATTTAGACGTATTTAGTAAGTGTAAATATGCACATTGACATTGAATCGAATTTGAAAATAAACTCTTATTTATTGTGTCTATGTTTTACTGCAGTGAGAGTTGCCAAAGACATGTCGTTGTACTTTGTATGAGGACAATACAGAAATATTCTTCATTCTTCTGTATAGTAAATATGTATGTGTTATTGCACCATAATGATAACCATATAATGATGAACATTGTGTTTTCCTGCCGCTCCAGTCTCTGCAGTTTGACCGGAGCCAGCTAGCAGCCGTGACGGAGGAGAGTGAAGGGCTGCGGAAACAGGTGGAGCAGTTGGAGGGAGAAGCCAAAAAGTGAGTCATGTGCTGCAAAGAGAACTGCAGAGCTAGAAAGACTTGGTCTGTGGTCTTTATCTCTGTCATCAAGTGCTGTTTATAAACTTAAATAAGTGGCGTTGCTCATAGAATTCCTCACGATGAGTCAGTCAATATGGCATCAACAACATAACGCACCCTGTCATCTTTATCCATACATGTGATTTTCAGACGTGGGAAGTAGTGGAGGACAAATACTTCGTTACTGCACTTAAGTACATTTTTCTGGTATCAGTACCAGAGGTTGCGCTAGACTTTTTCACTGCCCGTCATTTTGACGGCCAGGATCGTAAAATTTCCGTCAAAATCCATTATTACCCGTCGGTCTGTACACAACTCTGCTGGGGGGGAACACGCTCGTGAACTGTCAACGGGGGGAGGGGGGGAACGCACATTCGTGAATTGTTAGCGCCGGTATTATGCCGTGTTATGCATGGTTGCTGCACCTCGCGGGAGCGCGCCACAGCGTAAAGCAAAAACTCAGACATTTCAATGATTTGTACGGCAAAGTTAGGTTTGGAAACTATACCACTTCCTTTTTGGAGGGCATGCATAACACCGGAGCCTCGCTGCGGGGAAGCTTTGGCGCTGTTCCGAGTTTGTTCTAATCCGTCAAAATGACGGACTGCTTTCAGATTTGTCCGTCATTGTTAAAAAAAATCCGTCAGACGGAAAATATTCGGTTGGTCTTTACTTTCACTTGAGTAAAGAAGTTTAGTCAGTACTTCTACTTTTACCAGAGTATTTTTAAACACGAGTATCTGTACTTCTACTTGAGTAAAGGACGTGTGTACTTTTACCTTCTCTGGTGATTTTAAAGATGTACAGTCTGATCTTGTAACTCTTTGTATGTATTCATCAGGGCCATCTCGGAGCAGAAGGTGCGTGTGAAGCGTCTGGGGACGGATCTGACCAGCGCTCAGAAGGAGATGAAGGCCAAACACAAAGCGTACGAGAACGCTGTGAGCATCCTGAGCCGCCGGCTGCAGGAGGCTCTGATGGAGAAGGAGACCACCGAGGCAGAGCTGCTCAAACTCAAGGCCCAGGTGTCGGAGGGGGGGGACAGCCAGGCCTTCCAGGTACAGTGGAAACCCTCAACACAAGTTCAAGGTTCAAGGCTTTTATTACAGGGTTCTTACGGTCATTAAAAACCTGGAAAAGTCATGGAAATTCAAAATGCAAATTCCAGGCCCTGGAAAAGTTACGGAAAACAATATTTTTCCCAAAGTTTTGGAAAAGTCATGGAAATGTAAAGTTGCATCAAATATAATTTATATTGTATCTCTGAAATAGTAATACTATAATGATAATAAATACTGTATCGTATAGTAATGAAACGTAAAATGGCTTTTAACTGACGAGGTGTTTTGCTGGAGAGAGATTTGAGTTGCTTTAGCGTGTAGAAGCTAGTAAGCCTACTATTGGATTTGTTTTAGATAGACACGACATGTTTCAGATGCAGACCTTATTTTCCTGTTCCATGTTCAAATAAACCATTTCCAGTGGTACGCTGAGAAAGAGTAATGTTTTTGGTCATGGACAATTAGGTAAAGGTCCTGGAGAAGTCATGGAAAATCCTTGGTGAAAAAGTGTATGAACCCTGATAGTAATGAAACGTAAAATGGCAACTGTCGCAGTATTTCGCTGGTGAGAGATGTTTACAATCACGCCCTCTAGTCCAGTGGTTCCCAACGTGGGGGGCGCGTCCCCCTTGGTGGGGCGCCAAAGGTCGCAGGGGGGGCGCCAGGCCTCAGATGATTTGAGGCCAAATATGATATTTAGACTTTTCTTTTTTTTTTTTACTTCAAGTTAGTATTAAAGGCATAACAAGACAGAAATGTATAATTCTTTAATAGAAATGTTTCTTCTGCGCGTAAAGTGTCCAAACCAGGCTTTTCTGGATAAGCGCATTTTTAAAACAGTCATTGTCCATGCCGGTTTCAGTTGGATTATTTGTCACAGTTGCTCCGATCAGATCGGTCTCCTCCATTTTGTAGATTACTTTTGAATCCACATAAACACATGCTCAATGTAAGCCGGATTTTGCCGATGTGTTTTAAACAGTTTAATCCCTTTGCGAATTGTTTCCACTTGCGCCGTCCTTTAATTTCTTCATGCAGCGGGAATCCAAATGAATTAATCCCGAGTCCAATAACCATCAAAGTCACTCCAATAGTGCTCCTTAATTACGCTTTCATCCTCCTTTAACAAAATACTCCACATTCACCCAGTTTGTGACAGTAGTTGTTGCATTTTTGAGACTTTTAAACTTTAATTACCGCTGTTGCGCCCCCCCTTGTGTGTGCGGGGGGCGTAACTTCCAACAGGAGTCATTTGGGGGGGCTCTTGGGAAAAAAGGTTGGGAACCACTGCTCTAGTCGACAGTGGCTTTAGCCTATCGGAGCTACTATTTGATATAAGGCTGCCAAGATGCCAGCGAAGTGCAGTTTCAACAATGTATGGCTTCTAAAGGATAAGTACCAATTGTGGTTATCAAAAGACATTGACCCAAGACGTGCTAAATGCAAACTGTGTTGTAAAATATTTGAAATCTGATATTTCGAATATGGGCGAGGCAGCGCTTGCTTGAAAGAAAGAGTCATTTTTTTTGGTCATGGAAAATGAGGTAAAGGTCATGGAGAAGTCATTGAAAATCATTGGTGAAAAAGTGTATGAACCTTTTATTAGCCATGTGTGCATAGCTACAGTGGAGTTATGACGATGACAATCTTATGTCCCAGGCTCCTCCAACAGAGCAACACAATAAAACAGATAAAATAGTGAAATAGTGCTACATTCACAGTGTATTGAGAAATTCACAGCTACAATCAATCTCAATCTTTATTTATTTATATAGCACATTTTAAAAACAACCTCGGTTGACCAAAGTGCTGTACAGGGAATACATACAATATAAAATAACACAATGGGAGTAAAATTATAAAAGCACAATAACTAGAAACATACAAATGTAAAAACGTTATGTTCAACTAGTGTTAGCTACGACATATAGTTTGCAGTGGATTCTCCGTTTTAGTGTTGGGAAAAGCACCAGTAGAGAATTATACAGAGTGCAGGCTCTTATCTATTTACACTTCTTAGCAATTTAAAATATTGTGTGGATCTGTCGGCGCACTAAACATTAGGAGGCCTAAGGTAGTAGGTTATAAAGTTTATGAAGCCTGTTTTTCTTATTTGCACTTAATAAAATCATTAGATATTAGTCTGGCCAACATCGAGCAAAACTAAGTGTTTCATAATTATGGAAAACATGGAAAAGTCATGACATTTCTAAAATCAAGGACAATTTTGACGATGATTGTTGTTGTCTTTATAAAGGAATAGTTTCTTAAGCATCCTGTCAAGTAATGTAGCATTACACCCGATACATTAACTGAAGCTGTTGATGTTGTTCTTGCAAATCTTTCTTTTATTGAAAAATGATTTGACTGAGCCTGTAGTTTCAAGTGTTTGAATTGAACATAACCAACGAGTGGAGATTGAAAAAGGTTGTTCCATAATTCTGGTGCAATGGTTACAAATGTATTTATTAGGGCTGTCAAGTTAACGTGTTAATGCAATTATTTTTTAACGCCACTAATTATTTTAACATGCGATTAACGCATGTGTATTTGTCCTCGGCCCGCCCTGTAGTTTCAGACCTCATAGGCTTGACGTTGTTGTTGATTGGATGGTGGGAGATTCTAACGAGAGATATGGATACAATTTTTTTTGTTTTAAACAGCAAGCCAAGCACACGCCTGGACACGGCGTCTATGAGCAGCAAGCTTTCAACAGCGATAGCTAAATGGGGGGCTACAGCTTAACATTGTGGAGGACGAGGGACTGTGTGAGATAATTCGGATCGCATCCAACGTGTCGACATCACAGCGCATTATTTTGACCCCTGTGGGAACTTCAGTCTCATGCTTTGACTGTTATGAAGACAGAGGAGCGGCATTTCGCCGACAACTGTCAACAGGCTTGTCTGTTTGAGCAACTGGTGCAGAGAAGTAGACAGGGTTGGGAGAGAGTGAAGAGAGAGAGAGAGGTTACAGGTTGTTGTATTGAAAATATTCATGAGAATATTTGTCATTGTTCAAATGATAATAAACATTATTTGCATAAAGCATATTTGTCCACTCATATGTTGATACGAGTATTAAAAACTTGACAAATATTCCTCTAAGGTACATTTAGAACAGATAGAAAATGTGCAATTAATTTGCGATTAATCACGATTAACTATTTTAATCGACTGACAGCCCTAGTATTTATATACATTTTAAAGTAGTATTATAAACGGCTGTTCATGTAATACGTTGTGAATGGATCTGATATTCTGTCTATGAAAATATGTGGGAATGCTGAAGATAAAGCATCCTTAGTTTTGAGGAATACGTTTGTGAAGTTATCTTATTTTACTGTAAGAGCTTTCCAATTGCATAAATAACTAATATTATTACAGTTAAAAAGCCAAAGATTACAATTGTCCACAGACACAAGGACAGCATGTAAAAGGAAACAGCCCTCGACTCATATTTATTGATCATTAACACATGTGTCATTTCATTGTGATTTATCCTCGATAACTGCAGCTGTAACTGAAACATTGAAATAGTGTTTTGTTGGTCCTGCAGGAGAAAATCAAGGCTCTGCAGGCTGAGCTGAGGTCTGTGTCGCACAGCAAGACGATGCTGGAGAAGGAGCTGCAGGAAGTGATCAACCTCACCTCCACCGAGCTGGAGGAGTACCAGGAGAAGGTGATGGAGCTCGAGGACGAGGTAAACAACCATCATGTTGTGTCTGTTTGTAAATATGTTCAGGTTTTGGACCAGAACTGCTCGTTATGTCGAACAGGAAATGATAATAATATGAATCTTTATTTGTAAAGCACCTTTTTCAAGGCTTTTATTGTCATGTGTGCATAGCTACAGTGTATTTATGATAATGAAAAGCTTAGGTCTCAGGCTCCTCCAACAGTGCAACACAATAACACAGATAAAATAGTGCAAGTAATCAAATAAATTAGACTATAATAGAAACAGTGCAGAACAAGTGCTTCACACAGAATACAGATACCAGTAAAAGACATAAAAACAAACAAAAAATAGCATAGAGTAGTGTTGCAACCCGGCTCGTGGGCTGTAACATAAAACAGGGAGGCGAGACGAGAGGTAAGAATAATATAGTTTATTGTTTAAACACAACAAACTAAATATACACCAGCATCAGGTCCCCGAAGCTGGCGCAGAGAGAGTGCCCAGAGGAGTGAGAGCGACGCAACCGGCTGGGCTCCTCCTTTATCCCGCTTCATCAGGTAGGCCCACAGGTGCGGCTCATCAGCACCTGAACCTGCGAACACCCACAAACCACACACACACAAACAGACGGCACTCCACGTGGTGTGGAGGGGTCGTCACAAGTAGACATATATAAAAAAAACACATTTAGATTAAAGGTACAATGAATGGTACAAACAAGTGGCAACATGTGTGATGAAGGTGCGCTGGGCTATATCATGCAATCGAAAGTGAAACTTAAAGGGGACCTATCATGCAAAATGCACTTTTGTACGTCTTTTATACATGAATATGTGTCCCCGGTGTTCCAGGGAACTCACCAAGTGTCAGAAAACACAACCCTCTCTATTTTCCTCCATACCCAAATCTCTTAAAAAGGGGCTGCAACGGATCTGATACAGACTGATCCAGATTTGAACACTTCTATGACGTCACAGAAGTGGCGCTACGGCTATTGGGCCAACTCCACCAATCAGGAGGAGACAGCCACGGACATTGCCGTTCGAAAGCGCTGGAGACGCTGTAGTACATATGCCAGGCCTGTAGATGGTGCTGTTCTCACAGAATCAGCCCGTGAAAAGACAGTGTTAAATTGAGCGAAATGAGGAATGGCTAAAATGCATGATCTGTTTGGTATTTTGAAAAATAAAAAGTATAAATATGTCTTATATAGGTATGGTCCTACACTATATTATTCAAATATAGCATGATTGGTCCACTTTAAGCTCGCTCCATTGCAGAGATATTCCCGTGAGAGTGCGGAAAACTCAAATTGTATTAATTAATTTCAAATGTGAAATGTTACCAATATATTCACGGACCACTAGGGGGCGCTCACGGACCACACTTTGAGAAGCACTGCTCTAGGACCTAACATTCACACACATTCACACACCGTTGGCCATCGGGAGCAACTCGGAGTTAAGTATCTTGCCCAAGGATACATCGACATGTTGACTGCATGGGCTGGGATCGAACCCACAACCTTCGGGTTGAAAGACGACCGCACTCCCTCGCAGACAGTGTCACCCTAAATATATATATATCCTGCTTTACTTGAAGTAAACGGTTGTTTTTTTTGTAAATAGTGAGTGGTTTTTTTATACCTCGGGACAGTGCGAAACAGTATTTCGATCTTTCTGTGTGCACAAACATATTTTGAGATTGACAATAAAGTTGACTTTGACTTGATTCCACAGCTTCAAGAGGCCCGCTGCTTCAAGAAGAGGATTCGGAAGTTGGAAGATGCCAACAAGAAGCTGGCACTCGAGCTGGAGCATGAGAAAGGGAAACTGGCGGGATTGGCTCAGTCTCACAACACACTGCGGGAGCACTCCAACATTTTGGAGTCTGCCTTAGCTAAGAGAGAGGCCGATCTGGTCCAGCTCAACTTACAGGTGAGAAAATATCCAACATTTTAAATATTTGTTATCCCAGGGTTGTCATCCGCGAAGCTATTTCCGTTGAAGCAAACCCATCTCTTCGAATCTGTCGTCCTTGTCAACTCATTTCCATCACCTAGTTTCCATCTACATTACCATCACTTCAGTCACATGCTTTTATCACATGGCAATACTTATGATGTTGTATAATGTTTTTATAATTGTTATGCTATGACGTTTGTATTATTTTTTTGTCTTTACTTTTGTTAACAGCCAGTGATTTGGGGCTATAATAAATGTTGATTTGATTTGTAACGTGTTGCAAAAGTAGAAACCTTTGGTTAAGAAACGATGCACGTTTTAAAAACAAAATATTGCTTTCAGGTTCAAGCTGTTCTGAAGCGTAAAGAGGAGGAGGACCAGCAGACGAAGCAGGTCGTACAAACTCTACAGCTCGCCTTGGAAAAAGAGAAGACCAAAGTCAAAGACCTGAAGGAACAGGTGAGAGCTCTAAGCATCCTTCTTAAGATGAAATGCCTACTGCCCTTCATTTTGCCTTTCAAGTGATTACAAACAGTCTGTGATTTGGATATATTTGAGGTCATTTGCTTGGTAGAGTGGTGAAGGAACGAGTCCTAAAACCTGGAAGTGAGTTAGCATTTTACCACTTCCGGTTCCCTCGTCTCAGAGGCAACGGGTTTTTGAACTACTTTTTGGAGCTGGAAATAAGGTCTGTGGTTGAGACACATTGAAGAGACGGATCACGTTTTGTTCTCCGAATCAGAATCAGAAACAGGTTTATTACCAGGTAGGTTTACACATACGAGGAATTTGACTTGACGTCATGGTGCATACATACAAATAAAACGTGAATTAAAACACAGGTAGGGAACTAGAGAAATATTCGCTAATCGGCACAGTGCTTCTACGACATGAAATACATCAGCAGCACTGGTGATTTCTGAAGAGTTTACGTGTCTGAAAAACGATGGTTGTTACCAAGTGGCTGAATATGACTACAGAAGTTGTTGAGGACGTAAAGCAAGTTCCTGCCTCCTGCAAACTGTTCAAACAAACGCTTCAACTTGTATCATTTAGAATCTGTGTGTTTGAATATGGATCTTAAGTTGGCGTGACGTTGAAGTCGTGCTGCTGGACTCGGCTGTAGTTCCTTTATAGCAGGGGTGGGGAACCTTTTTCCTCTCAAGGGCCATTTAAATGTTTTCAACATCCTTCGAGGGCCGTACAAATTATTGACCTCTGCTAAAAAATACTAAAATCACAGCCCACTCATTTCACCTTTCTTTCATGCTGTGCAAAGAAAAAGCAACCTTTTAATCCAGATATCTTACCATGACTCACGCATGCACGTGCAGAGTTGTGACATGACCACCAAAACAGAAAGATATGGACACAAGATGTGTGCAAATGTATTTACTTTCCTTTCCATGTGAACATGATTTAAGCGGGGGGGGGGGGCCCTTACCTCCTCTAGGGGGGTCCGGGGGCATGCACCCCCGGGAAGATTTGTTTTTAAATGTCGAAGTTAAAAGCATCAATCTGGTGCACTTTGAGAGCAGCATTAGGAGATCTATGGAAACATCTCTCAACACCCAGATGAAACAGAACTGGAAGCAGATTTTCTTTTTCTTTATGGATCTTTTACAAATCACTCCCCTTTCAAACTGTATTCTTCTTTATTAATAACGACTTTTTTTTACTGTCATATAGTATTTTATACCTGTTTACTTTATTCTCTTATTGTTTTATAACTATAATGATCATATAAAGATGTGCCTTTACCTCACTGGTTGGAGAAAAAGCTTCTTATATTCGTTAGCATAGCTAGCTAACCAGATGCTAATAACAACAACGTTATTGACTGTAATGATCAGTGTGACAGATGAACAGATCGCCACTGGGCTTTCAACTAAAGACACAGCCAGGCATAAACTGCGGCATGTGTACGGCTCCTTATCGGTACTGCTTGGAAGTTCTGGAGCGACGTTCTGGTGCTCTCCGTCAGCACTGCACCCCTGTCAGACGAGACATGTACCACGTGATGACACGTTAGGCTTGTGTTGTGTTCAAGGACCCTGACTTTGGCCAGGAAAAACAGGCACTCACTTGTTTAATTATTTGCGGTCTAGATTTCTTTAATTTTTTTCTTTTTTGCGTGTGTTTATAAATTACCTCGAGGGCCACAACAAATGGTCTCGTGGGCCGTATACGGCCCGGGGGCCGGAGGTTCCCCACCCCTGATTTATAGCATAACGTTAGCATTTTGCTTCTGGCGATTATGTGGAAATGGAAAATGCTAAAAGTAGGGTAGACGTGTGGAGATTATCCGGCTGAACAAAACGTGCATTTATCAAGCAGGTTCATTTTCCACAGATCTTATTTTTTACAATATTCCAAAATCCTATGGCTTTTTTGTCGAGGGAACCCAGCTTACTTCCGGGTCGGCCTACAAAAATACGTCACTGCACCACTCTGTAAGAAGCCTCTAAGATTAGAAATGCGTAATTGTGATCTGTAATAAGTCTGGTCCCATGTGTGGAGCATCTTGGGGGTTGACCGGATGTTTTGTCTCCTAGGTGGCAGCAGCAAAGGCGGAGGCGGCTCACAACAGACGGCACTACAGGGCGGCCGTGTTGGAGCTGTCAGAGATCAAGAAGGACCTGCAGGCCAAAGAGGACCTGGTGAAAGCTCTGCAGAGGGAATCCCACAAACTACAGTAAGTGCATCTGACAACATTTAAGAATACAGTCACTTTTTGTAGATACTTTGAAAAACAAAAATCGGTTGGTGTTTTGCAAAATCTGTCAAATGAATCCGAATCAGAAACAGGTTTATTACCAGGTAGGTTGACACGTAGGAGGACTTTGACTTGGTGTCGTGGTGCATACTAAAAAGTAGAACAAAAATGTAAAACACACATAGCAAACTATTTTAAGAACACTATAATACCATTAAAAAGATATAGTTAAATAAAGCAATATTTACATTGAAATAGAATGGAATAAAATATGTGCAATAATACAAAAAAACAGATATTGTGTGCATTAATGTAATGCATAGAGCAGAGGTTCCCAACCTGTGGCCACGGCAAATAATTTGCAAAACATTCTAATTTGTGTGGAAATATTTTCATTATTAAGATTTTTTAATTTTGTATTTGAACCTCCTTTCCTTTCTCTTTCTCGATCCTCCTTAGCAACGGTCATTACAGTCCTTCACAGCGCTCTGTTCTACTGGATTGACAATGTGTCACATGTTCTGAATTGACCAATCAGAACTGTATTTAGCCTCCGTATTGTTTACGGTTGAAAGTGGGCCACGAAAACGAAAATGTAGATTCTTAAGTGGGCCCTGAGGTGAAAAAGGTTGGGAACCGCTGGCATAGAGTCTAAAATGGGGCTCAGGTTCGGATATGTATGATTGAATATGTGTTTCTCTGCAGGTCTCAGGATGAGCAGCATTCTCAGGAGGTCTCCAGGTTCCAGGAGGAGCTTTCTGAAGCCCACTCCCAGCTGCAGATCCTGCAGAAACAGCTGGACGAGGAGCTGTCCAAGCAGCCGCTCACCAACCAAGAGGTAAGAGACTTTGTTTATTGGGTTTTTTCAACAGGATACAGTTATTGTATCGGAGCATGTATCAAAAGTAGGTAAACAAATCTTCACTTTATAGAAAAATAGGTAGAGTAACAATGTGAATACAGAGACTCAGACTTTAAATGATATATTAATGATCGCCTTTATTTAAATATCTCAACACTTGATGTGATGAGCACAATACAGATTTGATTTAGGATAGCTAAGTATTAAACCTGTTTAGACGACAATGACAAAGTGGTTGTGCGTGACCTTGCCTTGTCATAGTAGAACAATACTTAACACAACATGCAATACATTTTGACTACAAGGACAACAACACACATGGTTATATTTCACATCTCACAAAAAACATTAGACCTCACCCTTTAGGTCAGAATATAAAAAAGTAGAGTAAGAACTGGGATCTTATTGGTGACATCTTGGAAAGTAATTAAACATCTAATTGAACCTCTTGGACGATCCTTTCAATATGTATAGTCTGCATTAATTATGACAAAACATTTTGATCCATGTGCTGTTTTATTATTATCCTGCTGTTCATTAAATCTTTTTTGGGTTCCTGTTCTATAAAATGAGCTTGTTGGTTTTGGAGAACATCTCTGTGTCACTGATTTCCAGAGGTGGGAAGTAGTGGAGTACAAATACTTCGTTACTGTACTTAAGTACATTGTTCTGATATCAGTAGTACTTTACTCCACTACTTATTTTTCTGACTACTTTTTACTTTGACTTCTTACATGTTGAACCCAAATACCTGTACTTTCTACTTCTTACATGTTGAACCCAATACCTGTACTTTCTACTTCTTACATGTTGAACTCAAATACCTGTACTTTCTACTTCTTACATGTTGAACACAAATACTTGTACTTTCTACTTCTTACATGTTGAACACAAATACTTGTACTTTCTACTTCTTACATGTTGAACACAAATACCTGTACTTTCTACTTCTTACATGTTGAACTCAAATACTTGTACTTTCTACTTCTTACATGTTGAACACAAATACCTGTACTTTCTACTTCTTACATGTTGAACACAAATACCTGTACTTTCTACTTCTTACATTTTGAACTCAAATACCTGTACTTTCTACTTCTTACATGTTGAACTCAAATACCTGTACTTTCTACTTCTTACATGTTGAACACAAATACCTGTACTTTCTACTTCTTACATGTTGAACACAAATACCTGAACTTTCTACTTCTTACATGTTGAACACAAATACCTGTACTTTCTACTTCTTACATGTTGAACACAAATACCTGTACTTTCTACTTCTTACATGTTGAACACAAATACCTGTACTTTCTACTTCTTACATGTTGAACACAAATACCTGTACTTTCTACTTCTTACATGTTGAACACAAATACCTGTACTTTCTACTTCTTACATGTTGAACTCAAATACTTGTACTTTCTACTTCTTACATGTTGAACTCAAATACCTGTACTTTCTACTTCTTACAATGTTGAACACAAATACCTGTACTTTCTACTTCTTACATGTTGAACTCAAATACCTGTACTTTCTACTTCTTACATGTTGAACTCAAATACTTGTACTTTCTACTTCTTACATGTTGAACTCAAATACCTGTACTTTCTACTTCTTACATGTTGAACTCAAATACCTGTACTTTCTACTTCTTACATGTTGAACTCAAATACCTGTACTTTCTACTTCTTACATGTTGAACTCAAATACCTGTACTTTCTACTTCTTACATGTTGAACTCAAATACCTGTACTTTCTACTTCTTACATGTTGAACTCAAATACCTGTACTTTCTACTTCTTACATTTTGAACTCAAATACCTGTACTTTCTACTTCTTACATGTTGAACACAAATACCTGTACTTTCTACTTCTTACATGTTGAACTCAAATACCTGTACTTTCTACTTCTTACATGTTGAACACAAATACCTGTACTTTCTACTTCTTACATGTTGAACTCAAATACCTGTACTTTCTACTTCTTACATGTTGAACTCAAATACCTGTACTTTCTACTTCTTACATGTTGAACTCAAATACCTGTACTTTCTACTTCTTACATGTTGAACTCAAATACCTGTACTTTCTACTTCTTACATGTTGAACTCAAATACCTGTACTTTCTACTTCTTACATGTTGAACTCAAATACCTGTACTTTCTACTTCTTACATGTTGAACTCAAATACCTGTACTTTCTACTTCTTACATGTTGAACTCAAATACCTGTACTTTCTACTTCTTACATGTTGAACTCAAATACCTGTACTTTCTACTTCTCACATGTTGAACCCAAATACCTGTACTTTCTACTTCTTACATGTTGAACCCAAATACCTGTACTTTCTACTTCTCACATGTTGAACACAAATACCTGTACTTTCTACTTCTTACATTTTGAACTCAAATACCTGTACTTTCTACTTCTTACATGTTGAACTCAAATACCTGTACTTTCTACTTCTTACATGTTGAACTCAAATACCTGTACTTTCTACTTCTTACATTTTGAACTCAAATACCTGTACTTTCTACTTCTTACATGTTGAACACAAGTACCTGTACTTTCTACTTCTTACATGTTGAACTCAAATACCTGTACTTTCTACTTCTTACATGTTGAACTCAAATACCTGTACTTTCTACTTCTTACATGTTAAACTCAAATACCTGTACTTTCTACTTCTTACATGTTGAACTCAAATACCTGTACATTCTACTTCTTACATTTTGAACTCAAATACCTGTACTTTCTACTTCTTACATGTTGAACTCAAATACCTGTACTTTCTACTTCTTACATGTTGAACTCAAATACCTGTACTTTCTACTTCTTACATGTTGAACACAAATACCTGTACTTTCTACTTCTTACATGTGAACACAAATACCTGTACTTTCTACTTCTTACATTTTGAACTCAAATACCTGTACTTCTAACCGTCTTACATTTTGAACTCAAATACCTGTACTTTCTACTTCTTACATTTTGAACTCAAATACCTGTACTTTCTACTTCTTACATGTTGAACTCAAATACCTGTACATTCTACTTCTTACATTTTGAAACTCCAAATACCTGTTACTTTCTACTTCTTACATGTTGAACACAAATACCTGTACTTTCTACTTCTCACATGTTGAACTCAAATACCTGGTACTTTCTACTTCTTATATGTTGAACTCAAATACCTGTACTTTCTACTTCTTACATGTTGAACTCAAATACCTGTACTTTCTACTTCTCACATGTTGAACTCAAATACCTGTACTTTCTACTTCTTACCTGTTGAACCAAATACCTGTGTACTTGTCTCCTTCTTACATGTTGAACATCAAATACCTGTACTTTCTACTCTTAC